TAGTCTCTACAGATTCTGAACTGTTAGTCTCAGAGGAGCAGCCATGTTTCTGTGTCTGGTCTCTCAGCAATCTTTACTTTGGAGTTGTTCTTCCGTAGAACTGCTTTGCATTCTAAGGTTTGGAGCAGGTGTGTAAGAGGAGCCGGTGCCAGCAATACTGACCTGCTCTTCCTGTAGAATGAACACTGTTTAAAATGCTGCTGCCGCCTCCTGCCCTCACACTTGCCTCCCCAGACTCAAGCAGGACAGGACACGACCCAGACTCCTATCACAACTACCTAGAACTCTGCCAAGTCCTTTAGAACTGACATTTCTGAGCCCACAGTGTGGGTGAGCTCCTCTGCGATCCCTGCAGAGTTCAGACTCTTGGTCTTTCCGACTCCCTTAGCCACAGTTATAATTTTGTAGCTCTATATCTCCACCTGGTGGTAAAAAGGCATGTTGAAGAAATGGTCAGACAAATGTGCAGCTACATCTATCTTTTAATTTTTTTAAATAAAAATTTCAATTTCAGAAAAATTTTCCTATAAAATGACTGTAAAATTACAGGTGAGTAATTACATTTAGAAGTACAATATAAATCAAGATGTTAAAATGATATCTTGCAGAGGCTGGAGAGAGAACTCAGTGGTTAAGAGCACTTGCTGCTCTTGCAGAAGACCCAAGTTTGGTTCAGCACCCACACGGCAGAACCAGTCACAACTCTAGTTCCAGGGGCTCTGATGCCCTCTTTCAGGTCTCCATATGCACCAGACTCTTTAAAAAAACAACATTTTGCAAATCACTCATTATTGGATTTTTTTCTTAAAGTGTTAAGAGGCTAGAGACGTGGCCTAGCGGACTCAGCTCTCTTGCTCTTGTAGAGTGCTCAGGGTTGTTTCCCTGCATCCATGTGTTGCCTGCAGTAATGGCCTCCTCAGCATCTGAGGGAACCAGACATGCACATGGCGCCACATATATGTGCACAAAAATGCACACAATAAATAAACCGTTAAACATCCACATAAAACAAAGATGCCTTATTTTGCCAAAATTCCTCACCATATTCAATTTCCCCTCGGGTATTTGAACAGGAACATAAACGGTGGTAGGAGCAGGAATAGTAATAGTTGTGTTTGTGTGTGTGTGTGTGTGTGTGTGTGTGTCTGTGTGTCTGTGTGTGTGTGTGTCTGTGTGTGTCTGTGTGTGTGTGTCTGTGTGTGTGTGTGTCTGTGTGTCTGTGTGGGTGTGTGGTGGTGGTGGTAGTGTGTGGTATGATGGCACAGACATGTATACACTATATGTGGGTTATGAATTTATAGAGACTAGAGGAGGACCTTGGGGTCTTCCTCTATTGCTCCCCACCTTAATTTTTGAGATAGTCTCTCACTAAGCTTGAAGCTTGCAATTTCAGCTAAACTGGCTGGCCAGAGAGCCCCTAAGACCCACCAGTATCTACCCCACGCCAAATTCTGGGGTTATAGGCATGCATGGCCATGTCTGGCTTTCTTCCTGGAGATTTGAACTCAGGTCCTCTTACCTTTACAGCAAATGCATTTAAACACTGAGCTATCTTCCCAGCCAAAGAGCATTGTGTTTAAACTCAAATCATTTTTTAAGTATCTATAAATCCACACTTATGTAGATACATGATTGAATGAAAACCTGAATTCTTTACAAAATGCTCTCTATTAATACAAAAGGAATGGGAAGAGGGAATGACATTTGCCATTAGAACAATACTGTAATAAACAGGCTAACTTCTCCTGGGGAACTACAGTCAGCGCAAAAGTGTGAGGGGAACAAGACCTTTGTATATCCTCAAGGTAATTCATCTAATATTTGTTAGTTACAGAAGGAAAGATGGTAACTGTGCAACAGATGAGTCAACAGTCCCAAGTAAATGGAGTCATGAGATTTAGGAGACATGCTCTGGGTCATGGCACTTGTGTGACATTCTTGCCTAAAGTACAGAACCTCAATAAAGTGGTTAGGAATCAGATAAACACAAAATACCTATTTGGTCATCATCAGGAAAATCCTGGAGGAAACTAGACATGCTGAGGAAGTACAGTGTGATTAGGAGCAGAAAAAAGAATTTTAGTGGGGAAACTGGATGACCCAGGAGAATCTGTAGTTTACATGATGGTATTGTGCTGACAGTGTATATTGTGGTTATACAAGATGCTTGTTAGATGGTGCTTGAGCAGTAGCTTTCCATTTCAGCAACTTTTACCTAAAGTAAAATGTTTGCGAAGCAAGAAGTTAAAAAGTTACTTATAAATTATTATTATGTATTGCATGTACCCTAGGCTGGCTTTGAACTTTCTAGGCTCCTGTGTCAAGCTTCTTGAGTTTTAGGATGATGGGCACTTGCCACCACAGCCAGCCATAAAAGAAAGAATTTTATCTCTTATCTCTACATGCTTATCATCAAAGGTAATCGCTAGTAAAACAACTCTCATAGGAAGGATGTAGTCTCCAAGCTTTCACATGAGAGGAGAAAGCATCTTCAGTTTTGACAGTGGGAAATGATTTTTGCCATTATCGTGTGTTAGGTGCAGTGTGGAGCCATCTGCCAGCATGGCCTGATACTTGTTTCCTTTTGTATTTTGGGAACAGCTCCCTTAAGTTGTCTCATCAGCATGTCCCTGTCACAGTAGCAGTATTTTCTCCTATGCACTTTCTCCTATGTATTTTCTCCTCTTGCCCCTTTTTCTACTTTGTTTTACCTGCCTCAGAGTGTCTTGGCCCTGGGTAGAACTTAAATAGCTTCCCTGCGTCAGCCCTTGGTTTCAGAATCAAAGCTGTCAGTTAGAGATTGGTGACCGCTCTTCCTGCAGAAATTCAGCCCACCATGGTTTGCCCTCACCCTTCCCTTTGATGCCCAGGCAGCTGTCACTTGTACAGAAAGTGGCAAGTCTTAGAGAAGGTTATTTGGAACTGAGTCCTCTAGCGCTCCTGGTTCATACATCCCAGTGCTGACCTCTCAGTCCTCCTAATACTTTTAGGCATATTCTAGAAAAAAAAATGTAAAAATTTTTTGGTCTGCCCATTTTGGTGCCCACCCTGATTCCACCTTTTAGTATGTTGGCATGGAACTTTAGAAAAATCAGGTATTTCAGAATAAAGAAATCTGATTGGGCATAAACCACTTAAGCTTTACTCTTGAGTGTCTCCTTTTGATATAGATCATTTCTGGACCAGTTTGTCTAAGTCCTGGCTCTTATTGGCTCATGTGAAATGTTATCTTCACTTCTTTGTATATTATGTATCAATTAGAAAATGAAATGTGTGAATAACATCGTATGAAATAAACCTGGTCTTATGTTTTTCTCTTAAAAAAAAATCTTATCCCTCTGATTCAGTTGTTGGGCTGTAGGCCTCTGGAATTCAGGGGCATGTGACCTCTGCCGGGCCAATTATGCTTTCCTTGGCATTCTTTTTCTTATGTTTTTCGAGAAAGTTCCTTGAACTCAAAACCCTTCTGCTTCAGCCTCTTGAGTGCTGGAACTATAAACACGTGCCACTGTGCCTAGCAGTTTCTTTTGCACTTTTTTTTAAGCGGGGGTGGAGGGGTGTCTTGTGACTAGGAGAGAGAGACCATCTCTCAGAGTCCAGAGTGAGGGGAGAGTGGTGAACCGAATGTAAACAGGGAAAGAGCAGAAGTAATGAGAAGAGCAAGATAGTCTTCTTTGGCTCTTCTGCTAGAACCAGGTGAAAAGAGAAATTCCTCCTCCTCTGAAAAGGTTAACTGTGTAGGATATAAGCCTGGAGCTGTTAAGACCAGTAAGTGGAGAAACTTAGCAGAGAAAATGTGTTTCACAATCTGAATGTATGTAACTTTCATGATTATTCATTTTGGATAAAGGTCAATAAAGCAAAGGAGGGCTGGGGATGGAGCGCAAGCGAAGGCAGATGGCTTGATTAGCATGCATGAGGCCTGGGATTTGCTTTTGCCCTGCAAAAAATAAACCAGAACTTTAAAATACAGTCCCTACCACCACCAAAACAAACAAAAAAGCCCAAAAGGTACTGCTGTGAAGAGACCACAGCAGCTCTTACAAAGAAAAGCATTTAATTAAGGCTGGCTTACAGTTTCAGAATCCATGGTCATCATGGTGGAAAGCATGGTGCTATGCTGGCAGACATGCATGGTGCTGGAGAAGTAGCTGAGAGTTCTACGTCTGGATCTTCAGGCAGCAGGAAGAGAGGTATACTCTGGGCTTGGAATGGGCTTTTGAAACCTCAAAGCCTGCCCTAGGTGACACACTTCCTCCAACAAGGCCACACTTTGTAATCCTTTCAAATAGTGCCACTGATGACCAAGTATTCAAATCTATGAGCCCCTGGGGGCCATTGTCATTGAAATCACCACATCTTCCTCACTCCTTTACAACACCTCTCCAACAACAGAAGCAGCAAAGCCCCTGTCTATGGAGCAGTCCTCACCCAGCATGGTGAACTCTCTCTCAACCATACCGTTGGTTGGGACACTGTGCTTGAGGTTGGCATGGTGTGGTATGGTAAGGTTGGGGGTGGGAAGGTGAGGAAGGAAATTACTGAAATGCCCTTAGAGTGAAGATCCTAGGAGGACAGAAAGGGGCAGGAATGTTATAGAGGTCTTAGCTGGGGAAAGTAAGGCTGGTTGTGGTGTCTGAGTTGTGGGCAGGAGTTTAAGAGGCTTCCATTGTGATGCAAAGGAAACAGAATGTATGAGTAGTACCCACAAGGGCAATGACAAAATAAAGGGCAATGACAAATCTGACCCCTTTGCTAGGGCCTCAGAATAAACACCAGGAGGCTATCAGAAGGGGGATGGAGCTCCTGGTGCTCCTTCCCACCCTCTCCCCCTAGGCTGTCTGAGATGTTACCTTCCACCTGAACACCATCTCCCTGGGTCTCAGTCATTAACTCTGGTCTGTAACTCCTGCTTGGTTCCATCTCCTCCACCGACTCACAAGAGACTGCCATCTGTCCTTCCTGGAATCTCTAAGGTCTTATGCCCTCCTCAGGCCCTGATGGCCAACTTTGACAGCCCACATGAGAAGCCTGCCCCACCTCAAATCCGTATCCCTAACCAAGGATCATCACCAAACCCGGGGATCACCATTTCTTTCCTTGAGATTGGGTCACTCCCCCATCTCTGTTGGGACTACCTCCCACCACCAAAGAATAGTATTAGCCCAGTAGGAAGAACAGGGACAGTACAGAAATTTAGCAATCTCTTAAAAGACATTAAAGATGTTCTTAAAAGTATAGCAGGCATTGAAGATAAGCCTACAGCAGTCAGGGAGAGTTTTGATGATGCCAGTACTTCTGAGGATGTGTCAAAACTTAAAATCAGAGCTGTTGATAAGAGAAATAAAATGCAACTTAAGGATATGGTGTTTCATTTCGACCCAGAGAGAGAACAGTACACAAACAAAGAGGAGGTGTTTTTGAAAAACCAGAGTGCTAAGAAAATGGTGCAAGCATTTACATGGGATGTGTGCAATTCAGAAAAAAAGAGAAGCTTTGATGACTTGAAGCTGAGCGTGGAGAGAGGCCGGAGTGGCTCCCTTATCATACGTGAAGGATACAGAAAACTCAGGAGCAATATGGAGCAGTTATTACAGGAAGCAGATCACTGGAGTAGGCAGCACAGCGAGCTCAGAGAACTAATGAGGTTATATCAGGAATGCCAGAAAGAAGGAAGCTGTCGAATCTATTCCCAAACCCAGCCCAGCAATGGACAGTCTGCCAAGCGGGAACTAGAGGTACAGGTGAAGAACCTGAACCGTGATGCACACTCGTTGCATTTGATCGCATCCATGCTCCAGGATGAATGTCAGGTCCTAAAACAGAGAGTAGATATTCTCAACAGCTTCCCTTTCCATGAAGCGGGACCCCTGTATGAGAGGCCAGTGCAGATGTGCGGTGAGCAGGACAGGAAGAGTCCAAGGTCAGCAGAAGCATACAGGATGGAAGCAAACAAGAACACCATGAAGACAATGGAGGGCGTAAGTTCTAGGAAAGACAAGATCTTCAGGACCTCGGATGCCTCTCTTACTAAAAAGGCTCGGAATAACCGCTCCAGCACCCGCGTTGCAAAAAAATCTCTTGCGGGGAAACGAAGAAGCTTCCACTAGAAACCACCAGAAACAGATCCAACTTCAGCCATAACTACCATCAACCAAGAGTAGATAGATCTTCTGGTTCTGCCAAGAAAGAGACATAGAATAAGAGGTGTTCGTATTACCTCAGCAGTTAGAAGTTTGGACCTTAACCATTGTGTGAATGTCAACTAAGTGAAGATTCGAATAAAAGCAAGAATAAAAGGAAAGTTTGTTTGTTTTGCCTACTTTTCTTTAACCATATCTGGGGGAAGAAAGGTTCCAGAAGGGAAAAGTACTTACTATGATCTAATTCTCATATTTTAAAGCTTATTTTCAAGTTAGTTGTTTAGTTTTCCTATTGTTTGGTTTTTTAATACATATTTTATTTTTTATTGTATGTGCATTGGTGTTTTGCCTGTATGTATGTCTGTGTAAGGTTGTCAGATCTTGGAGTTACAGATGTTGTGGGTGCTGGGAACTGAACCCATGTCTAGAAGAGCATTCAGGATTCTCAACTGCTGAACCATCTCTCCAGCCCTCTATTTGTATGAAATATGCTGGAGTTAAGGGAGAAAATAACCAAAAAAGGAAAATAATGGTATTAACTACCTTAGAAAGCTTTCGCCTCTCATGAATCTACATCCAGCTCTGCTTTCCCTGCTGTCCCTCTCTGGCTCTCAGCTCGTGAATGAGGGTACGCCAGGCGACTGAAGCCCCTGGGAAGGATGCCTCAACTTGAATGGAAGGATAGACATGTTTCTAGATTTCTTAATTTTTGTTGTAAAAATTCCCCTCATTCTTCCAAGTGGAGACAGCAGGCTCTCTGCAAGCCCTCTAAGGGAGCTGGGTTTGAACTCCAGGACAAACAGAGCACTGTCTCTCCTGGAGATCATGCGCAGAGCAAATAGAAGACACACAGTGGAGTGACCAGAGCCCCCAGTTCCTGAGTTCTTGTATATTCTAAACTGGTGCTGAAGAAGCTATCAAACAGCAAGAAAAACAAATGAAACAAACAAACAGAAAGCCTCTAGAGAGCATGCACTCCTGACAAAAGGCAAGGAAAAGGATAGTGTGACAGAGTAGACACTGCTGACAAAAACCTGTCCAGATACAGCCAAATTGCATGGAGTGTACCATGTGTCTGTTCCACAATGACATCAGCAGACACTGAGTGGGAAGCCTAGACTGCAGCCTGGTTCCAGGAGAGTGAGGCACAATCAAGAGGATTTTTATAAAACCAGAGAGATCTTGGAGAGCAAAGGAGCTCAACAGGGTAAGTGCAGCACTGTGGGAGCAGTGAGAATGAAGGGGACTTACTTAACTGGGCTGAATGCTTATATCCCATCTGGGGGTTCGACACTTGGGACTTCGGGCCCAGCTCTGGGTTTTCTAGCTGGAGCCATGACTCGTGGTTTATCTGTCTGCTGGAGAAATCTGTTTATGCTTTGTATACAGAGGACAGGATAAAGTTCAAACAAAGAGAAGCAGACTTTCGTAGTCACGTTCCTTGAAAGTCTGTGAGACAGACAATAGACAGATCATGTATTGGTTAGCTTCAGATTTTTTTTTTGTTAAGGATGAAAGCAGAGGGATGATATTATCTTCTGATTCAAACTGGCCTGTTGGGGAGATTTGTTATCTTTCTTTTCTATTTATTTTTATTTTATTCTTTGAGAATTTCACGCACACACACACACACACACACACACACACACACACACACTGGTTATTTTTACCCCATTACCCTCTCTAACCTGCTCCCATTCCTGCTGAACCCTTTCTTTTCATTAAGTTCCCTTTAATTGCCATGTTATTTTGTTTGCTTTGCTTTGCTTTTGTGACACTGAGTTAACCAAGGTTGCTTGCATGAGCTTGGGTAGGGAGTTGTTTGCTATAGCATGGACATCTCACCTTTTTCTAACTCCTCCCAGATTCCCCCCACCTCTCTACGCACCCACATTTACACCCTTTTCCTTTCTCTCAATCTTTTCTCCTCTTTCTGAAAACCGAATAAGCAAAAACAAGAAACATACCCCCAAAACAATAAAAACTAAAATGAACAAGCAAAAATTCAATAAGAAAAAAAAATGCCCAAAGCAAAGCAAAATGAGACAAAATGTCTACAAAGATAGCATCAAGTTAATTTTGTGTTGGGCAACTACTGGGCATGGCATATTAATCAATGCCCTTAATAGATAGATGTTCGTCTTCTAGATGCTTTAATGTACTCCCTGAATTTTTGGGTTTTACATGTACCTTAGTAACTTGTTTTTTAAAAATTGATAGTGTATTATTTACTTTAAGTTTTTTTCCTTGTTTTTAAGAAGGTGTATGTGTGTTGGGGGGGTTATGGGTGTGGCAAAAAGAGAGCATCAAATCTGTCTTAAAGATATAGATGGCTGCAAGCCACCCTGTCTGGGTGCTGGGGATCAAACTCATGTCCTCTGGAAGAGCAAAAGTCACTCATAACTTCTGAGCTATCTGTCTACCCTCAAATACAACATAGTTACATCCAAATACTATCTGTGATTTGTTTGCTTGTTTTAAACAGGGTCTCACTAAGTAGACCAAACTGGCATCATACTCAAAGAGATCTCTCTGCCTCTGCCATCTAAGTGCTAGGACGAGGAGTGTGTACCACCATGCCTGGCTTCCATGTTTTTATTTTGTTTATTTTATTTTTGAGACAAGGATTATTGGGTTGGCTAGCTTTGAACTCCCCATGTAGTTGAAGATGACTTTGAACTTCAGATCCTCTTGATTTCACTGTGTGGGCATGTTTAGTTTATCTGGGCCTGCCCAGGCTCTGTGCATGCTAGGCAAGCAACCCAGGTACTGAGTTCTGTGTGCAGGCCCATGCTTTTCCTTCAGGTAAGGTGAAACTCTCCTGAAGGGCACTGGTATTTTGTAATTACTGGTGGAAAGGAACAGAATGAAACAAAGTCTCATTCTTGCCAGTGTTCTAGTTCTCTGGGCCTCTAGTTTTTCAAACTGAGTTCTGTAGACCCTTAGGATCAGAAAGAACTTAGATTAGAATTTCAAATTCTAACTGTGACTTAGATAATAATGTGAGCTTTCAAATGTGTTAGTGTTACACAGGCATGTTGGAGCTTACCAACAACTTGTATTTGCCCTGCAGAGTGATGCAGTTTGTACACACCACAGAAAAAAGTGTCCTCTGCCATCTGTGTTGTAGTAAATTAAAAAATGAGTGTTGGGCTATATGATGTTTATTATTAGCCCTAAGATTATCACGGTGGTATTATGTAAACTGCTATCACAAAAAATAAAACACAGACACCTGTTAGATTTTACAATTGCCTTATTTTTACCTTCGGGCCAGGCAGATATTTCACTACACGGTCTCAGTAACCTCACCAGACACCTTCCAGTCCCCATCCACTGCCATCCGCCTTAATCATCCTCATCTGGGTCACCTTCCATACATAATCTCTTGGTATTTGCTTTTATTCTTCATCTGGGCCTTTCCACGCCATTATACTGGCATCCTTCCTCCCACTCCATATTGTTTCTTCTCCACCAACCCATCATGGCGTCCTCTTTCTTCCCATCCATCTGTCTCCCATGATTCTCTTGAACCAGAAGCCAGGAACCTAGCCACGCCCACCCCATTCCACCCTGCCCAGGTATGGCCTGTTTAATCAGCCTGTCAGGTATACTGACTTAGGCAGGTTTACACAACGAGGGTAGGCTTAACCAGATTTTGAAGGCCTGCATCAGAACAACCTCCAACACATCTGTTAAACTAAAGAATATTCGGAAATTCAAGTCATCAGTTCCCTTTAAAATATGGATAAATCAGGACTAGAGTGATGGCTCAGCAGTTAAGAGCACTGGCTGCTTTTCCAAAGGACATGCGTTCAATTCACAACTGTTTGTAACTCCAGTTCCAGGGTACCTGGCACCCTCACACAGATATACATGCAGGCAAAACATTAATACACATAAAATCAAAATAAATAAATCATTATAAAAATAAAAAATATTTCTCTCTGTACTTCCTCTTCTACGTTGTTCCCTCTCTTCAACTGATTCCACTGTTTATTCTATTTCCCCTTTTCAGTGAAATTTAAGCATCCTTCCTTGGGTCCCCCTTGGTACTTATCTCCTTTGGGTCTGTGGATTTTAGTCTAGTTATCCTGTACTTTATAGCTAAAATCTGCTTATAAGTCAGTGTATACCTCGTGTGTCTTTATGGGTCTGGATTACTTCACTCAGGATGATCTTTTCTAGTTCTATCCATTTGCCTGCAAATTTCACAATTTCCTGATTTCCTTGTTTTTAATAGCTCAGTAGTATTATATTGTGTAAATGTACCACAATTTCTTTATCCACTCTTCAGTTGAGGGACTTCTGGGTTGTTCCCAGAATCTGGCTATTAGAAATAAAGTTTCTATGAACATAGTTGAGCAAATGTCCTTGTTGTATCATAGAGCATCTTTTGGGTATAATCCTGAGGAGTGGTATAGATGGGTCTTGAGGTAGAGCTATTCCCAATTTTCTAAGAAAGCACTGTATTGGTTTCCAAAGTGGTTATAGAAGTTTGTACTCCCACCAGCAATGGAGGAGCATTCCCCTTTCCAAATCCTCACCAGCATGTGCTGTCCCTTGAGTTTTTGATCTTAGCCATTATGGCAGGTGTAATCAGAGTTGTTTTGATTTGCATTTCTGTTATGACTAATGACATTGAACATTTCTTTAAGTGCTTCTCAGAGATCAGACTTGTGATAGAAGGGGTGGGGAAACAGATTGCTTGCAGAGAGAAGAGAAACCATGGGCAGGGGCATCTCTGTGACAAGCTAAAGACAGAAGGTCCAAGTCAATGTCTTTGATTAAATTTATATTACCTACATATAAATCTTGGAGACATGTGTGCATCTTGTGGGAAAAAATGGAAAGGGAACCATAAACAGAAGACATTATGAAGGAGGGAGGAGTGAACACATGTGACATGAGAGGAGACAGGGCACTGCTGGAGGCGGAATAGTATAAGGGAGGGCTACAGGGCCATT